AGGTTGTCCAGTGGTTAAAAAAAGCAGAGGGAAAACACTGCTCTTGACCTCTCTGTGCTGTACTTAAGCTCTTCTGCAGGCTGATCTCTCTGCACGTAATTCTGCCCCAAGCCTTGGGTGGTCACCCAAGCCACGTTGATTTGGTGTGGTATCTAAAACTCCCCGCATCCTGCTTCAGAGAGATGGTTGCCACCTTCCCACCTCACTAGCCAGGCAGTCTGAACAGTCTTCTGGCTTGGCCTTAATCTCTTACGGAAAATAAAACTTGGAGGCTTGTCAGTCTTGAGAAGTCAGGAGTGGTCACATACACTCGTCCCGTCGGCTGTTTGTTCGGCACCACGGTGGGACACAGATACGCATCCACTGTCACAGTTGTTCAGGTGGAGAAGTGTCCGGCTGGCCTTATTTTATGAGCAAAGAGAGCCGACACGTGGGCAAGCAGCGGCGAGTTTGGGATGGGTAAGTGGATATAAACCAGCTCTGCTCTGGCACGTTTCCCAGAGCCGGTGGGAAGTCCTCCTGCGTTTATCACCAGTGTGGGTCAGCCATGCAGCTGACACCCACGGGGCCGGGGGGCTGGCCTGGGCTGTGTTTTCTGGCACGCTGCTTTTCCTTCTTCCGCAGGGCCGGCAGCGCTAGCATCGCTTTGAAGAGCTGTGCTGCAGGAAAAAAAAAACCCTCTTTTGGGGACCTGTCACCTAACCTACCAGCTAAGCTGGCTGTACTTTGAGCTCAGATAAGCAACAGGCCACCTTTCTGAAGTGCCGCTTGTTGGATTGCAGCCGGTTCCTGACTTAGAGGAGAAACACCAAGGAGTGCTGAAAGTGTTCTGCTGCTGCGGGGCAGCGTCATGCAGCTGGAGCTGTGGAAAGAGCGAGGAGACAATCTCCAGTCCAGGTTTCTAATCCTTCTTACCTCCAAGTTTTGAGTCCATTCTACCTGAATTGGTAAATGGGCAACCTGGGCTAGTGGAAGGTGTCCCTGCTCATGGCAGGGGAGTGGAACTAGATGATCTTTAAGGTCACTTCCAACCCAAACTATTCTTACAGGAGCTGTACCAAGGCAGCTTGGTACAGCTAAGTACCTAAGCTCTTCCTAAATCACAGCCCAGCCCTGCTGGCATAGTAATAGGGGAACAATCCATGCGGAACAACCTCTTGCAGGAGCTTCCTGCCTCGTGGCTCCCCAAGTCAAGGGAGTCCTCGACATTCCCCAAGTTATCCAGGTATTTGTGCTCTGCCTCTTGGAGGAGAACTTACTGGCAGAGCAGCTCACAACAGCACATTGGTTCTGGCAGTGCTTTCTGGGCATTTCTCGGGAGCTTTACTCTGGAGTTGTTCAAGAGAGGCGTTGACATCAACATAAGTCTGAAATTCCTGTTTCTCCGCGGTGGTTTTGCTTGCCTGGAGAGCGTGTTCAGCTCTCGCCCAGCCTCAGGGCCTGATTCTCAGTCACCACTTTGACCCAACTGCCAGCCACTGCCCTGGATGTTCAGACCCATCCACGGATGGTGCCCGAGCACGGTGAGAGAACTTTGTTTCGTTACTGGCCTGTGTCCAGCTGCTGGAGCTTTATGAATGTTTCTGTGTTTGCAGCACCAAGGAAGATTGACAGCCTTTCTGTTAGCTGATTTTTAATTTAAAAATGCGCTTCTCTTCAAAGATTTTTGTCAACCCAAGGAGTGATTACTCCAGGGCTCTTGCTGAAATACCAGCATTTTTGAAGGTCAGCATCTGCATATTGGTCTCAGCATCTTCAGTATCAGAACAGATGTGTCCCTTTTCTTTTTTTTTTTTTTTTTTTTTTTTTTTTTTTTTGGTTGTCACCTAAAGGCTTTTTGTCCTTACAGATTTTACGCAGTTCTGCTTTACCTTCAAGGCAATCCTGGACCTCCGTGTGTCTGTATGGAAAGGGTGGACTGCAACCACTCTGCTCCTCACATTCCTCCTAAGCGTTGGCTTTTCCAGGGTTCAGTGTGAATATTATTTTAAAATGTTAAATTAAGTGTTTACAGCCAGTCCAGCACCCAGATTCGTGACTGCTCAGGCTTTGACCTCAGATTCATGCTCTGGGCCACAGTGAGAACACAAAATGAAGAGCCTGTTCCTTGATACAGCTCATGGAGTGCTCACCTGGAGTTCTGCACAGTGTATTTATCAGGGTGTGTTCCGTTTAAGACTATGACAATAAATCTGCCCCAGTGTTTATGCTGGCTTGGGAAGTTTTTTTACTTCTGGCCTCCTCTTTAAGTTGGAATTTCATTTTTACATGGATGTTGATGCTTGCTTTGTCTTTCCTATTTGTAAAAATAAATACGGAGCAATGTTAGTGCTTTATCACTGCGGGAGACTTTACATTTCACATAAAGGAGGAGATAATAGTTTGAGCTTATTTCTGGGTCAGGAAAAGGAAAGATAGATACAGAGCTGCTTTTGGCCTGGGCAGTTTTGTGTCTAGAAGAATGAGACCGGGGGGGACCTTGAAGAGTTGCAAGAAGATGTGGCAACAACCTAGGAAACGAGGAGTGCAGGGAGAGGATGCTTGTGTCCTTTCTTGAAGAACAACTGTTTTATGTGCAAAAGCTTGAGATCAAGGACGATGTGAAAGAAGGGATTGTTCCTTGCCTGCGTGAATGCAAAGATGACAGAGAAGAATTACAAATCTGTAGCACAGGAGCTGCTTGAGCAGACAACTTAATCTCATCTCCTCGGATATCGAATGCAGCTTAAATGCTGAAGCGTGTGAATGAAGAGTTGACCAAAACCTTACGGGTGGGTTTGCAGGCAGCTGTGGTAGAAGGTGCTAGGAAATAGGTGAGATGATCAGAAAAACAAAACGAGAGGATGAGGCGTGGGGATGCCTGTATCTGGCTGTGTTAAAGAGAGCCGGTCTGTGTCCCAGATACCAGAACAAAGAGTGTTTAATTCAGCAGGTGACTGTCCTGTTCTTGTGGTGTCTTCCCCCTCCTGTCTTCTGTTTTATCAGAAACTTAATTTCCCCCCTCTGAGAGAGAGACAAGATTTAGAATCAGGATGGGTGCTGGCTGCAGCTCTCCAGTGCCGGCATAATGGATCCGTGACCTGATTTAAACCTGTGAGAGCTGCCATAATGTAAATATTTGATGGAACTACAGCTTCCCTTTTCAAGTCTGCTTCAGTTTTTCAAGCTAAATCATGGCAAGGTATTCCTGAAAGACACTTGTTAGCGTGGAGTTGTTTATGCAGTTCTTGGTGGTTCTTTTAGAGATTTTTTTTTTTTTTTCTGGCTTCGGGCATCATTTCAGCCTTGCGTTGTATTTATGCAAAATCCGAGCAGTACAAGTAAACATGAGATTATATTTGTGTCATAATACATGGAAAGAAAGGGAGTTAAATCCATATGTCAGCTCTTACCCCAGATGGGAACCATGCTGTCATTCAAATCACGATCACTCCTTGTTTGGGCAGAGATGGTGCATCAGCCTGGAGTGGCTGGGTGAAGGTGGTGAAGGTAGGGAGTTTGCTGAATGGTAAATAGCGACATGGTTCGACACTTTTTGGGCTGCTCTGGAGAGAAACTTGTGTGTTTTGAGTCCTGGAATGGATTGAGTCAATACGCCAGGCCTACATTTCTCACCCGTTTTTATAAACACAGACCTTTGTCAGAAGAAATAGTTGCTGTTAGCATAATTCTGCTTAGTGCAGAAAGGCACGATTCCCACATGGGCAGTGTTTGTAGGGCTCTCCAGGCTGTGGGATGGCAGTACGACAGAGGAAAGAAGGTTTTATTTTAAGTTCTGAAAAAAATCAACATTAAGATGTGGAAACAGCTTAACCCGGTACAGAAACAAGGGTTGCAGCAGCCCTTCTGGGCAGAGCCCAAATGATTCAGCCAAACCAGCAGAAGCATGTAGGAATACTCAATCCATTTAGCAGTGAAATTATTTGCAAACCCAGTTTTGTATCCCTGTGTCTGTTCTGTGCTGGGGATGTGTCCCGTACCCAGGTATTTAGGAAGAATTTAGAAGCTGGATTCTTCATCCACTCACAGCCATTGTATGAAACACTTAACTTTGCTCTTGGGGTGGGTGTGCTTTGCTTCAGCACAGGCCGTGGTGCCAAGTACGGGGTGTTATAATTCCTTTAATACCTTTGTCTTAGGAACTCTCTTTGTGGGAGAAGAGGGGAATGTTTTTGAGGTGCCATCTGTCTTGAACTCAAGGTTAAAGTAGGCATCTGGAAAACGCAGCTTATCTCAGTCTGCTGCTATCACATGCAGTCTTTAAAGTGCGAGGCATCTTCTGCTTGTCATGTCTAAGTCTTGAAGCCACAGGAGGGGTTTTTTTTAACAATTTAATTTGCAAGTTAGAACAAAGAAAGCAAGCAGCATCAAATCTAGAAGTCTGAACTGTGGACAAAGCCCCGATGAGCTCTCTCATTCTAGACCTTGCGTCTGAGCTGTTTTATTTTCTAGGAGACCAGTGGTACCAGCTGATGAATTAATTGCTGTATTGATGCACAACTTGAAGCATTAGCTCTCTGCACCAGTCTCTGCCCCTGAATGGCTCACTAATGTAGAATAATGTTGCACCTTCAAGTTCATAGAAAAATCTTTGTTGGGAGATATTTAAAAAGTAAATCTTAAAGCGAATGTTGAGCTTAAGTTTTGCGTGCGTTCAAAAGATCCTTGCAGGTTTTCAAAACGTTTCATCAGATGTGGGTTTTCGGTTGTGGTGATGGGCAGTTCTGTTCAAGATAATACCGAACCACAAAGCCTTTGCGGTACGGTTGCGCTGTAGGCGGAGGGGTTTGCTGAATTTCGAGGGAATGGGCAAGGACCCTGGAGCCAGAATGTTGCCTGCGTGTTTTAAAGGTTACATAGCTATATATAGCTAAGGCGGGGTTTTCTTTGAAACTAGTCAGATCAGTCCTTGTTCAGTAAATTCCAGACTTCTATTGTAAAAAAAAAAATAAAAAAAAAATCTGCTGTTTTCTGCTATTTACCAGTGTGTCTCTTTGCAGGATTCATGAATAAAATTTTCCATCCCAACATTGACGAAGCGTAAGTAAATCCATAGTGTGTGTTTTTTCTAAGGAGTTTGTCTAATTGTAACGGTTTTGGCTTCACAGTTATATGCTGATGAGTTGAACAATGCTTTCATCAGTCTAAGAGTCCGGAGTGGGGGATTTGATGGAAGTAAATGTTGTTGCAAGTTAACTTTCAGGAGTGGGTCAGGCTGTGGGCAAGACTGGAGACCTGCATGCTGCAGGCGCTCTAGATGTGGTCTTTGCATTGCGACACAGAGAATTCGAGGTTACCAGTCCCCCTCCTCATTGGCATTGTGCTGGCTTTCTAGAAAGAAGGAACAGCGTCACCTAAGCCATAGCTCCCTCTTTAGCTGAAGTTCACATCTATACTAAAATTCTTCAAGACATGAGATGTTTTGCCAGGTTTTCTTTCAGTTATGGTTTGTTAAGGGGAGCCACCTATGCTGCAGTCTCTCCATATGGACCACAAATTCATTAAAGGCCCCAATTTACTTTCTTTTGTGCCGAGTATGAAGATTCACATAGTTAAAGGCTGCCCCTCTATTAACAACAAGATGGGAGTAAATCAGAGCTTATCTGAAACAGTGGGGCAGAGGCAGGGCAGGGGAAGGCGGGGGTAGGTTATACTAAATCCCCAGAGTATTTTTTGAGTGTGACTGTGTTTAATTCCACCCTTTCCATATGTTTCAGGTCAGGAACTGTATGTCTAGATGTAATCAATCAAACTTGGACAGCTCTCTACGGTGAGTTTGGTATTTCCCTGAAAGTCGATCCCGTGAACACCCGTATTTGGTGTGTTAACATAACACAGCTCGCGGGAGACAGATGATCTCAGGCCAACTTTTGGGTTGAGTGTTCTGTTTTGTTTTGTTAACTGGAGTTTTAGACTCCTCACTGAGCCGACATCACGTGAAAAACGAGATTTTCATGTGAAAACACTTTCATAACCTGTTTTTATGCCAGAGAGGTGAAAATACTCCATAAACCCCACAAAGGATCACCCAATCCATTTCTTGGCATTGTCTGACAACGGCACAACAGCACCCTGCCATGATTCAGCATTGAAAGAGAGAGGAGGGACTGTATCTACACCAAAACCTACTTCCAGCTACCCCATCCACGTTTGTACATGCGTTTGAGTTGGTATTCTTTGTCCGTGAGGTTGTGATCCCACTTCTACAGAAGATGGCACCAGAAACCATTCCTGTTTGTCATGGCAGCGTCGTTTCACTGCAGGCTAGGAGGTGGTATTGCATCTGTTGGCTGCACTCCTTGCTGTAGAATGTTTTGGGTTTCCCATTAGGTGGTTTCAGGCTGTAATTCTCATTTTTAGACACACACAAAAAAATCAGCTCGTAGCTGAAAACCCATTAAAATAGCATTTAGGGAAAGCTGAAATTGTTAAAAGGGATACAGCTGAGTATCTAGTCGAGGTTGGCTGCATTTTAAAAACGTGACCTTCTTCAGATGTTCCAATTATGCTTTGTGGAAGAGTATTCAGGGGAACGTGCACATCAAATCCTTCACGTTCCTCCATGAAAAACTGATTTTTTTTTTTACCTATAAGTTGAAGCTCGGAAGCAGTTGCTAGAGAGACAAGCTACTTCACATTCCTCACAAGCACAATTTGTAAGGAAATACCAGACTTGGTGAATCCTGGGTGGGAAATTGCTATAGCAACTTGTTGAACTTTACTCCTCATCAGAATGCCTGAAGTCCTCGTGTAGTAGATGCACAGCATACACTTCACATGGCTTTGTTGTGAGAGATCAGCTTAGCCGTGACCCGGGTGGTGGTGCTGATGGAGGAAGAGGATGCTCTTGTGTCCTCCGAGGATCCGATGTGAGATGGAGGAATTTAAACCAACCCAAGCCCTCTGCTGGGCATGAACCTGCATGGTTCAGTCAGCAACAAAATCCAGCTCAGTGCAGCGTGTGCTGCTCTTCCACAGCCTTAAAGGCCACCTGCAGATCATGGGGGTGTCTGGACAAAAGAAAATCACTCCGGTGTAACTGTGGTGCTGGTTTGTGCTCTGGCAGTCAGGGCTTGGCTTTGGACGCCACGCGTGGCCGGCCTCCCTGTTCTGCAGCACGCGGTGCGGTTTCTGCACTACTGCCAGACAATTTCATAGGAAGGCTTTCCGTGAGAGGTTTCCTAATAAGTGCTGCTGTATTTTTGTCGTTGTTGTTGTTCGTAAAGTTAGAAAAACCAGCTTGGTATTTACTATGCCTGTGATGTATCAATATCAGCGAGCTTGTTAGAATCTTCCGCGTTGTTCCGTGCGATAGCAGCGATAGGTGTCCGGCAACCTGAAGGGATCGGGTGTGTGTTCTGTACAGAGCACCTTCCACAGTAACCAGGGAAACTTGGCATTAAGAAGTGCATCTCCTGACAGTCATCTTATTGCAGATTTCCCTTCCCTTGCTGCAGGGTGCCTTGAAGCTGCAGGGAGGATGCTGGGGTGACTGCCCTCGCTCTGCTCCTTCACTCACGAGTCATCAAACACTATTCCAGGGCTTTGCCTCCTTGTGTGAAATAAGGAGGTGGCCCATTTCAGAACATGAAATGAAAAGGGGGAAATAACATTGCCCGGTGCCTCTCGGCCCAACTGTGTTGTTTGGAGTGTCACTCCTTTAAACCAGAGCACTCCTGCACTGCCAGAGGAAATGGGTCAGATAATTCACGGACCAGCTAAGGTGGAAAGGACCCAGAATAGCTACCAAGAAATTCATGAGGACCTCGTGGTTAAATTCCCTCTCCTTCTCTAATGAAGTATCAACTCCCCAGCACTATGGTTAGGCTTCCTGCATGTGTTCAACTAGTTCCTGCTAAGGCAATGCCACTTTTGGGGATTTGAAAGAAGGGGAAATTACTGAGGTCTCTTAAAAAAGAAAAATCCTTGCAGTGTGTCCTGTGAGCCATGGTGGCCTCCCAGGGCTCTCCTTGCTCAGCCTACATGAGTTTAGCTGTCTAATGGCCACAAAGAAATACTTGATCTAAGCCTGCTCTGTGGAGAGACTTGACCCAGCTTCTTGCTGACAGTGTCTGAACCCAGTCCCTAAGAGGGTTAATTAGTTTACCAAGCCGCTACCATGGCAGAAAGTATTCTTATAGAGCATTCTCACTGGGTTTTGTGATCCCTTTTTGGATTAAGATCCTTCTTGCAGTTGCTGTTGTGCTTCATCCTAGAAGCAGGTGGTGCTCAGTGTGGCAGCCCTGGCAAACTTGGTCAAGGTACCACGTGTGCTCTGAAGTGCTTCATCAGTGTCCTCAGGCAATATTTGAAGGGGCAGCTGCTTCTATATAGCAGAAAGAGATTTCAGGGTAAAAAACCCACCTAATTTCTTAGTGCTGTCCCTGTATAGCAGAGACCAGCTGATTGTTATCCATAGCAATCAGTGCCAGTTAGTTTTTGCAGTTTGGGTGATGCAGCTGTAATGAACCCTGTGCTCCTGAGTTGCTCTCTTGAACTGTCAATGTTAGGTTAAGGGTGGGACTAGATGATTCTGTGGTTCTGGTTAGGAAGGATTTCTGTGCAGAAGGGGCTGTTGGGCGTTGGAATGGGCTGCCCAGGGCAGGGGGGAGTCCCCGGGATCCCTGGAGGGGTTGAAGAGTCGGGCTGAGCCAGCGCTGAGGGATCTGGGAGAGTTGGGAACGGTCAGGGTGAGGGTCATGGTGGGGCTGGAGGAGCTGAAAGGGATTTTCCAACCCAGATGGTTCTGGGATTCTGTGAGTATATAAAGCTATGGCCTTTCCTCTTGCTCAGCAGGGTTTATGCTGGACGGGTGACTGAAGCAGTCATAGCACAGCGTCTGTGCATCCTGGATGTGTGGATGCAGGAGAGAACAACTGACCAAACCTTGAATCTCCTTTGATCCTCTTGAGCAAGCTCTCAAAGTGCAGCCGTTAGTAGAGCTGCTGAGGTGGTAACACGGGGCAGTGGTGCAGATCTGCCTGGACCTCCTGAGCAGCTCTTCTGAGGCTGTATCTTTGCTGGCAGTGGAGTTAGAACCTGATTTTTCTGTGGCTACAGCCTGCAGCCAGAGTAACCATTTGCCCAGGTGGCCAAGAAAGCCAACGGCCTCCTGGCTTGTGTCAGCACTGGTGCGGCCAGCAGGAGCAGGGAGGTGACAGTCCCCCTGTGCTCGGCACTGGGGAGGCCACACCTGGGCACCTCAATCCCAGAGAGATCTGGAGGGGCTGGAGTGAGGGCAGAGGAGGGCAACGAGGCTGGGGAAGGGCTGGAGAATCAATCCTGTGAGGAGCCAGGGAAGGAGCTGGGAGTGTTGAGGGGGAGGAGGAGGAGGCTGAGGGGAGCCCTCATCCCTCTCTGCAGCTCCTGACAGGACATTGCAGAGAGGCTGGGGCTGGGCTCTGCTCCCAGGGGATCAGGGACAGGACAAGAGGGAACGGCTGGAAACTGCCCCAGGGGAGGGTCAGGCTGGGCAGGAGGAGAAAATGTTTCCCAGCAAGAGTGGTGCGAGAGTGGAACAGGCTGCCCGGGGAGGGGGGAGTCCCCATCCCTGGGGGGGTTTCAGGGCTGTTGGGATGAGCTGTGGGGGATGTGGGGTAGGGGAGAACTTTGTAGAGTTGGATGGAGGGTTGGTCTTGATGATTCCAAAGGGGCTTTTCCAGCCTGAATGACTCTGGGATTTGCACAGGGGGAATGCTTGGAGATCTCCCCCACTACCTGCCCACCCATTTTGGTGAATCTTTTAGAAAGTTCAGAGCTCTGAGGTCCCTGCTCCCCACCAGATGTGGTTGAATTTAGCAGCTCTGGCGATGGCTGGGCTCAGGAATAGTCTCGCAGCCTTGTTCCTGGACGAGGCAGGTTGAGAAGACCAACTGCTCAGGTGGTGGATCCTAGGGAGCCTTGGGCTTCCTTCTGAGAGCTCCTCTTTGATCCATGCTAGAGGGGATGGGTGATGCTCATCCACAGGCAGGGTTTCTCTGCCACCAGGAAAGAGAAATCCCTTAATTAGGGAGGAAAAGGGGGATCCTGCTAAAAGACGTGCAGAATATCCACAAACAAAACCCAACAGAAAACCCCACACGGTGAATGCTGGTCCGCCTTGTATCCGCAGCTCTCCAGGGGCTAAAGTGAAACCTGGCACACAGCCCCGTGCTGGGGGTTTAATCTCTGCTCTGCGTGGGTGCACCGTGGTCCTTCTGAAACCCCCCAGGAGAAACGATGACGCAGAGCTTGTTTCTGAACACCCCCACTGCTGAAGTGTGGTACTTGTCATCTTAGGGATGTGGGAAGAGGGTTTCGTGTATCCACAATTACTCATCGGCACCAGAAGTATGTTTCCTGTTGTGGATTATTTGGTGACAGATGCCAACTGGCACCAAGGTGTTAATGTGAGCTCCTCACATTCTGCGAATTGTTTTGAGTTGGAGGAGGGACTTGTTGGTTGCTCTTTCTATTAGCACAATCATCTAAAGCACTTTGGAAGGTGCTTTACGCTTGAGATATGTCAATTTAGTCATGGAGCATAAGACTTTTAAAGACGGTAATAGAAGGAGGCAGAAATAGAAGAAGAATCCAGTGAGGGGTGAAGCACTGTGCTGTTTGTTTTTATTTTTTCCTTTTTTTTTTTTTTTTTTTTTTCCCTAAGCCAGGGCTAAGCCTCAATAGGAAACAAGACAGTTACATCCTTACACTTCTTTGCTTAACCCTCAGATATTTGTATCTATGTTGTTGGGATGTCCAGCAGTTTGCGCAGTTAGCTGAGGAGCTGCAGCATACCTTCCACAGCAGCACCTCACTTAGCAGCCACATACGTGCTTTCCCCAGTGCAGTTTCCTTTATTATAACTTATGTCCAGATTTTTAGTGCATTTTCCTTTGAAGCGTTGTGCTGCTGTTTCGGTGCCAGTGCTTGCAGGATGATTAATTGAACTGCTTCAGGATCCGTGGACATGAACAATTGTGTCTTTCACTTGCAGATCTCACCAATATATTTGAATCGTTCCTGCCCCAGCTGCTGGCCTATCCTAACCCTATAGATCCTCTAAATGGTGACGCTGCAGCCATGTACCTCCACCGACCAGAAGAGTACAAACAGAAAATTAAAGGTAAGGGTGTAAATGACATATTGTGGGATGAGTCACGTTACTGTAATTCCACCCTGGGGGAATGAGGACTCTTGTTTGCTGCCTGTTTGTGTGTCAGTGCCTATTCCTTCCCATTACAGGAGCCCCATCCATTTTAAATGGGGCTCGTCTGACGTAAGGGGTGGGTGAACTGCTGCTGAGGTGTATGCAGGGCAGGGTTTTTAAATCATTAGCAGACCCTAAGTGGGGAAAGCTGTAAGCGAACTGTCTTAGGATTCAACACAATTTTGAGAGATTAAAGAAACAGGGAAAAAAGGTGTGTGACTGAAGAAGAGACAAGGAAAAGTGTTAAAATGAAATGAGCATCCAGTTACACAATTACTGCATAGAAAGGGGCTTGTTAGCAGTTCTGTGGAAAGTGATGTGAGAGCGGCAGTCAAGGCATCAGTGATGCTGGTGTAGAAAGCACTTTTGTACTGTGACAGAGAAGGAATATTCGGTTAATGCCAAATAATAATTCCTTGCTACTTCCTCGTTAAGCCAAGGCTTACTAGTGCTGGGCCTGGTTCAGGGGGTGCCATGTAAGAAAGCTGCAGACCTCTTAGTAACATCTCAAAGGGTGTAAACAAGGACAGATGGTCTTGAATATATGTCTTAAGAGGACTGTGGGAAAGAATTGGAGGAGTTTAATCTAGTGGACCATACGGGTTTATAAGCTTTGACATCTCAAAGGTGCCTTCAGAGAGGAAGGGAATGATTTATCCTGTGACCAGTGTGAGCAGGATGTGGTTGCAGGTGTGTATCTCAGCTGGGGGAGCCCTGGCTAAACATTAACAGTGACTGGTGAGGGTAGCTGAGTGCTGGCAGAGCCAGTGAGGGTGCTGGCGTGTCTGCTCTTGGAAGGGTTGGAAGGAGGTATTAGAGAAGGCTCAGGAATAGAGTGACTACCTCCTTGGGATCAGGGAAGGCTCCTAGCAAGGACGCTCAAATATTTTGGATAAGCCTGGCAATAGGACTGTCCGAGCAAGCTGCTAAATGAGACACAAATTGAATTAGTCTTGCAAACGTAAGAAATAAGTTAAAAAAAATAAGAATTGCGCTTTAAATTTGTGCTCTGCCTTCCCTAGAATGAGCTTGCCTGCAGGCAGGAGCAAGGCACCGTTTCCCGATGTGACGAGCCTACAGCAAAGCACAAACTTTATTTTTCCCCTGATAGAATAAACACAATCAGCATTTAATCTGATGGTGGGAAATTTACAGCCTCTGGCCCAGATTTGGTCTTCAGCTTAAGTTTTTAAGAGACCGTGACTGCCTGATTTGGTTTGGTTTTTTTTCTTATTTGGTTACTGAATAACCATAAGACTTGTTTGTCTGTGGGAGCCCTGCCAGAGAGGTTTGCAGGGCCTGTTCATCAAGGAGAGCCTCCACAAGCAGCACGATCTAATCAGCTTCCCAGTGTGAGGTGGGGTAGCAGCTTTCCTAACGGAGCGTTGTGAGAGCTCACTCGTGTTTGGAGAGTGCAGGTATCCCAGAAAGACGTGGGATTTGGTGGTGGAGTCCTTCCCTCAGCTCTGCCACGTCACTCGGAGTGGTTAAGCCTCGAGTCACTTTGTTCTGATGCAAAATGACTCTTCATCAGCTGCAATTTTTGTTTGAGGGTGGAACTACAAATGAGGCCAAGCAAAGCTGTGATTTAAATACTGAGTTATTCAGCCCACTTTGCTTGACTCCTCTGACAGCTGCCTGACAAGATCGTGAGACTACCCTGCAGATCTGGCCAGCTCAGTATCCTGAAGTCCACTGCCTGTTTTTTTTCATATGACAAAGCTTCCAGGCAAAATGGTTTGTCAGATAAAATCTTCAGGGCCAACACAAGGCCACACTTTGGGCGTCCTCTATGCTTTAATGAAACAGGAATAAAAAAAGCTACACCCTTGAAAAAAAACAAAAAAAACAAAAAAAACAAACAAACTGATGCTAGCCAGCAGCAGGTGCTTCAAGGAAGATCTGAAGCCATCCCTCAGGGAGGCTAAATGGGATAGTCTGCTCCCTTATTTCCATCTTGACAGCCAGGTACAGGCTGTGAAGATGATCTGGAAGGAGTTTTAAGTGCTTGCAACATGTCTCATGTTCCATATACCCAAGAGTCCTGCCTCTGCTGGCTCTTCCCAGGCTTGCGTGACAAGTATAAGAGAGAGCTAAACATTGTCATTCCTCATATTGTAGCATTTTTAAAAATAGCCTCGGACATGTTAAAATTGATGCAATGGATTGTAGCAGCAGCTCTGCTCTGAGAAACTCAGTAGTGCAAATACATAATTTATTGCTGCTTTTCTTCATTTTTTAGTTATGAGCGCACAGAACATTTGCTTGACAATAGTGATAGTAAAGAGATGGGCATAGGCTTAGAGATGTGGCCCAGGGTTTGTAGTTCCCTGTGATGCTTGGTGTGAGACCCAAACAAGTAAGAATTTGTCGTGGAACTTGTAGATGCCCATTAATATTCCCAACATGCAGCTGGAAGGTGTGATTCTTAGCGTTAGAGCTTTTCAGTTAGTTCATGGACACAGAGCCAAGTGCTCCTTGACAGCCCTTGGTGCAGTGGCTTGCCTGATCACTGGTAGAGCACCAGAGAGTAGGCTTCAGATTGGCAAAAATGGCTCAGTGTTTGCTTTTGTTGAGCTGTTGGGAAAGGTGTTTAGCTCCTGTGTGTGCTGCTTTTTCCTCCTTTTGGGTATAACTAATATGAAAACTTCTTTTGGGAGGGTGGCGGTGGAGCGTAACAACAGCTGAAGGGTACTGAGGTTGAGTGTTTGCTGGGAGCAGAGGACATCTCTGGGAGCAGTTCTCTCATCCCACGTGGCAGCTCTGAAGTTCCAGTTGAGTCCTTTGAAACACCAGTATGGCTCACAGGCATGTACCAGCCACGGGGCATAACCACAGCTTGTTCTTGTTGCCCCAGGGTTTAAAAACAGATGAATCAAAGCGATGTTTCCCTGATAGGAATGAGTGCATGGAGGCTTTCCCTTCTTGAAGAAGCTCCTGTGGAAAGTGGTTTGTCAGTATTTAGATGTTGCAGTTTTCTTCCCTCGACAGCCTGAAGATCCAAGATCAGTACAACATTCAGCACAGAAGTTCCCTGAAGTCTGACCTTTCCCAGATTAAACCTTCAAAAAAAAAAAAAACCCAGCCCAGGAGCTTGGTAGCTTTCCTGGGTAGAAAATGAAGCACTTCAAACTCAAAAATGCATCGTTGTTCAAGTTTTAGCTTAGGCTCAAGCAAGCCTTTCCCAACCTTTCTACCCAAGTTCTGGGTAGAAAATGGCATTTTTAAGTTTGAAGTGCTTCAAGTTGTGTTTTAGCTTAGGCTCAAGCAGGCCTTTCCCAACAATACGAAACTGTGGCTTCCATGTCCAAATCTCCAGTGGCCTAGAAGGTGCTTGAAGTAGTTAGTGAAGAAGTGCTGCTGGCCTCCTATCCTGCCATGGTCACTGGCTTGTGGCTACTTTGGGGGCTCCTGAGGCAACTACACCAGTTGTTTAGGTGGGTTTGGGCTAAGTGTAGAGGGAATGTATTTTTAAGGTGCCCAGTAAGAGGTTGTCTTTGTCATCCAGGGACATCCAGAGTCTTACAGCAAAGGAACTTGTGCTCCTTTTGCTGGATAGTGCAGGGAATAACTAGGTAAACACCCCTTTTTCAGAGGGAGATTAATTCTTGGAAAGTTATGGGAAGGGAGTAACTGCTACAAGGATATGTCGTGTCAGCATCCCATCCCCTTAGCTCTGCTTGTCATCTATTGCCCACCCACCTTCCCATGAAATTCTCTGAAGACATGCTGCTTTTTTGGGTCCCTCCTTCGGTTAGTCCCTCTCATCTTTAAATCATTAGACCTGTCACATCAGTTGTCACTTTGCAGTGTCCATCTCTTGGCAGATGGTCCCTGCTCCAGACTCTGAAATCCTGTTCTCTGGTCCAGGCGGGAGATGTGGCCAGGCCTAGGGCTCCACGTTGACACAGGCAAGCACCTCTCAAGAAGGAGGTTCTCAGTGACCAGGACCTGAGGATGGAGCACAAGGGTGTTTTTGTGTTGATACCACGTGGGCTCCAGCAGCTGAGGGCAATCCGAGGCCTCGAGTGCTCCGTGCTTCCCGGTGTTTACATAGCTACCTTCAATACTTTATCAGTTCTTAACAAGTTCTTGTAAAACAGATTTGAACAGCTGCTTCTGCGGGCAGGGTGAGCAGGTTAATAATGTATATTAACCAGCCCGACTGAAGCTGCGTGCGTCATTAAGATGGAGAAGCTGAAGCTCACTGGGCTCAGAAGCACCTTCCAGCCAGCTCTGACGGCTTTTCCAGGGCGGAGCAGGTCTGCCAAGGCCACCAGCTGCTCCGTCCCGGGAACAGCTCCATGGCTTCACTTTGCTCTGTCCATACTAGTCTCCTAAAGCTGGAGTAACATGTTTGGGCTCTGTATGTTTATGTCAGCTCCAGAAATGTGGAAAAAAACACAGTGATGCAGACCTCTAGCAGAGTATTTTCCCTTCCAGTAGGCTGAAGGATGGAAGTGCAGAGGGAAGGAGGGATGGCTTTAAGAACAGCTGGGCTCTGCAAAGCACAGGCTTTAAAACCTGCGTTGCAGCACTTGGTTATGTGGCATTAGATGTGTCCTCCTGCAGCTTTGTCAGTGCATCCACCTGCCAATACAGTGTGGAATAAAAAGTAGTGATCTCTGCTTCTGGAGAAGAGATGCTTCTTGTGGACCTCGTTCCCTGGGAGGATTTAAAGACTGTACGTGAGGTTGGGATGGCTGCTGGGCTGGGGACGTGTCCAAAAAAGAGCAGTGAAGCTGGTGTAGGATCTGGAGCACAGGTCTGCTGGGGAGCGACTGGGGGAACTGGGGGGGTTCAGTCTGGAGAAGAGGAGGCTGAGGGGAGACCTCCTGGCCCTCTGCAACTCCCTGCCAGGAGGGGGCAGAGAGGGGGGATGAGTCTCTGGAGCCAAGGAGCCAGCGCCAGGCCCAGAGGGAATGGCCTCAAGCTGTTCTGGGGAGGTTTGGATTGGGTATGAGGAAAAATTTCTTCCCCAAAAGGGTTGTCAAGTGCTGGAACAGGCTGCCTGGGGCAGTGGTGGAGTCACCAGCCCTGGAGGTATTTAAAAGACATGTAGATGTGGCACTTGGGTACATGGTTTAGTGCTGGATTTAGGCTAACAGTTGGACTCAATGATCTTTTGCAACCTAAACAATTCTATGATTCTATGACATTCACATTTCCGTGCAGGGGCTCATCTTCAGGCACAGAGGGGGGTTAGTACTGCCTCTTCCTTCACTTTTTAAACAGTGCTGTTTGGCACAGGCTTTGCTGTGTTTTAGTACCTTCATATCTGGAAAGCTAATGAGTTTGCAACTGCAGTTCCCCAAGCACAACACCCCTCTCCTCCTGGAAGAGGGTGACCTGCGGTGTGGAGGGTGTGCTGTCAGGATACTGAGGTTACATCACTCCTTCGTACTATGAAACCACTTTCTTGGTCTGAGGTGGAAAAGAGGAGATAAATCAGAAGGAAGACTTGAAGTTGAGGCTGAGCACTCCTCCTTTAGCTCAGTTTTGTGCCAAGCTTTCACCCCTGCTCCGTTCTGCACATCTGCAAGCGCGTAGGGAAGAAGAGGCTTTCCCTGCCTGCTGAGGACAGCAGCCCCTCCTTGGATCTCGGAGGGGACACCACGGAGCCTCCCGTAGCTGTAAAGGAAGGAAAGGGATTGTCAGCCTCGGTCTGACTGCTCCAGTCCACTTCATGTTGCCTCTTTGCTCTGTCCCTCCGCACAGAGGTGACCGTGGAAGCCACACAAGCCACAGTCGGCAGCAGTTACTTTACCTGCCTGCAGGAATCCCAGTAAACCAGTTTTCCTGCTTGCTGTAAGCTTCCTGCTTGCTCCTGGCTGAAGTTCACGGGGTTGATCTGGGTGCCTAGAACCAGTGTGGTTGGGGCCCGGCTGTGAGGTGCGTTTTCCATCGGTGATCTGCAATGTGGTGGCCCAGCTCCCCACGGCTCCTCAGCTAATCCTGCAGCTGATGTTTGATGTGCGAGTTGTGCTTTGAAACTGGAGCCTGGGGCAGACCCACCTTTATTTTAGGGCTGGGGGAGGAAGCTTTCATTTTTTTATTTTAAAAGTGCAGCTATTCCTGCTGTATTAGTCTTCTCTGCTTTCTCTGTCCATCCTTCCTTATTAGTCTGGAAGTTTAGTCTGGCTCTGAGCTAGGCTTCAGTGATGGTTCTTCTACCCTACTGGGTTAGACTCTCAGATCTTCATTTCTGAAAGTCAGGCTTTGTCGGGGCATCTTGATGGCTTTTAGGCTTGTTCTCTAGGTCACCACGGTAGCTCCTATTTTGGCAGTAAATTGACTCCCGTCCTATTAAATGAGATACACCACACGGGGGAGGACTTAAGTTGTTGCCAGCTATGAGTGTGTGTGACGCTGACACGGGAACCTTGGGACTCTACTTGTTTTCAAGAGTCCTCTGTGTCTCTAAGGTCTCTATCAGCTGTTTTCAGACATTGCTGGACAATGCTAGCAGGGCCAGGGAAGGGATCTGAGCCCTGTGCTGGGCACTGGTGAGGCCGCCCCTCGCTGAGAGGGTTCAGTTTTGGGCCCCTCACCCCAAAAAGGCCATTGAATGACTCGAGCGTGGCCAGAGAAGGGCAACGGAGCTGGGGCAGGGTCTGGAGCACAGGTCTGCTGGGGAGCGGCTGGGGGAACTGGGGGGGTTCAGTCTGGAGCAGAGGAGGCTGAGGGGAGACCTCCTGGCCCTCTGCAACTCCCTGCCAGGAGGGGGCAGAGAGGGGGGATGAGTCTCTGGAGCCAAGGAGCCAGCGCCAGGCCCCGAGGGAATGGCCTCAAGCTGCCCAGGGCAGGGTCAGGCTGGCTCTGAGGAAGGATTTCTGTGCAGAAGGGGCTGTTGGGCGTTGGAATGGGCTGCCCAGGGCAGGGGGGAGTCCCCGGGATCCCTGGAGGGGTTGAAGAGTCGGGCTGAGCCAGCGCTGAGGGATCTGGGGGAGTTGGGAACGGTCAGGGGGAGGGTCATGGTGGGGCTGGAGGAGCTGCAAGGGCTTTTCCAACCAAGATTGTGATTCTGTGAATGCTGCCTTTGGTCTGAGAAATAGTGATCTGTATGAATTACCAAACATCATGTGGCTCAACCAGCTGTTAGTCATAGTTCACCTATCCTCTGACTGTTGAATATAAGCTGCTTATGTGTCTTTTTCTTTTCTGTCACATACAGAATACATTCAGAAATATGCAACAGAAGAAGCACTAAAAGAACAGGAAGAAGGCACCGGGGACAGCTCGTCTGAGAGCTCCATGTCCGACTTCTCGGAAGATGAAGCTCAGGATATGGAGTTGTAGTAGAAGAGGCAACCTGCTTTTCAGAGAGACTCTAATTTCCTAACCATGAGAAGCAGACTATAATATTCATATTTAAACAAAGCAATTTTTTTTATTACTAAACAAGGTTTTTATGAATAATAGCATTGATATATATATATCACCCTTTAGATCTTGATTTTCTTGGTCATTTCTCGAACCCGAGGTGCATAGCATATTCCCACATTCCATTTTGGTAGCAATATGCAGCCCGAATGCATGCATTCAGATTCCATTTGGCCAAGTCAACTTGTGTGCTACTGAACTGTCAGCTAAAACAGCTGCCCTGGTAGGTAGGGAGTTAGTGAAAAGATGTTTGCTTTCTTATCGATGTTTCCAAAGACACCACCTTGGATGCTAACGTGGAACAGCATTTTCTCCAAGTATAAAATCTGGGAGATGATAGACTAACCGTGTAGATCAGACAGTGGAATAAAAGGTGCTCCTTCAGGTCAACCTTGCTGATCGTATTTTACATGGAGTCACACTTAAAAAAAAAAATGGAAAAAAAAAAAAAAACACAGTACAAATGCATGGAGCTATTCAGAGCATTGAAGCTTAAAAATTTTGACTTGGATTTTAAGTCCGTTTTTATATGTGGACTCCTGCCTGCCCTTCTGAACTGTAGGGACTGACAACCACTGGTCTATTTGCTTTTGGGACTTTTGAAAGCACTTCATCTGGATGTTGTTCACTTTCTTGGTCTGGATTACGAGCTGTTCCCTTTTCGGGAGGAAAAAAAAAAACAAAAACAAAACACAAAACCAACCACAACAAAAAAACAAAACACCACAAACCACAAATGATGCTCTCTGAACAGTGCTTTGATTTAGCTGGAGCACATGTGAAGTCAAACTCTTTACTTTGTCATAGTTTTGAAACTGCTGCCCATTAATGGCTTCAAGTTTGCGCTTTTTTTTTTTTTTTTTTTTTTTTTTTTTTTTTTTTTCACCTCGCAAACACTCTCCATCTCCTAAGAGGGTCCTCTGACCAGATGGATTAGCCTTGCTGAGAGCTTCAGATCCACGAAGATTGGCCCATTGGCTGTAGTCCACGAATCCATCGGCACTGACTTTATTTTCCTTTTTTCCTCCCCCTTCTGCACCAGCTTGGTAGCCATCTGCTTGTGTGTGTACAACAGGATTAAAATTTCTTAAAAGTTAACAAAGAATATGATCTAGAAAAATTTTGAGATGAATAAAAAAAAGCTAAAAGCACCAGTTGAGGAAGCAAGTGAATCTGTTCTGTTTTGTTTTGGGTTTTGTTTTTTGTTGGTTTTTTTGGTGTTTTTTTTTTTCCAGGATGCTTCTGAATTGAAAAGTTTGATTTCTCCTGGTGTCTTTCAGCAAGCTGAGATTTTTGTTTGTTTGTTTTAATGCTATGAATTCTAATATAGTAAATGTCTACCTGAGATGCTGGTATACTTGAATTTGGATAATTGTGCATTGGAGATTCAAACTAAGATGGATTTTTAAAGCTGAATGTTACCTGCTGTATTCTTTTGGGGGTTTTGGAGGGGTTTGGACAAGATGCTTTAATTTGTGGTGCAACCTACAGGACAGTGCATGGAAAAATCAACCCACCCTGAGCAACTCTCGAGCAGTGTTTTGAATGTCAGACTGGTACATTTGTCATGTTCCCAGAGTTGTGTTTGTTTTGTTTTGGTTTTTTTTTCTTTAGAAATGCCACCAAGTTTTGAGTCATTGGGGTTGGAAGGTTACAATCCTATTTCTAATTCATAAAGCACAATCAATTATTTTTTTTTCTTTTTTGGGGGAAAAAAAATAATCACAAAGTACCATTTTGCTTTAGCATGATTTTCCTTAATAAAAATATACAAAGAATTTCCTTTATGTTAATTACGGGCATGAAGCAAAGGTTTTTCCTCTCCTTTTTCCCTTTTTATTTTAAAGCAGTAATGTTAGGGCTGTGGCTAGTGACTGTGCTGAAGTTCTCTATCTAGCATTTGTGGCTTGTCGGAAGGGTAATATTAACTATTTAACATGTAATGGTGTACTTAACTCTTATCTAGCACGCTGTTTTTCTCATTACTTTGGGGAGGGAGGGGCCACGTTTTGCTGGCACTGTTTAACTTGCTTACCTGCTGACCTAGCAGTTTGCTTGTGCTATAACCTTTACTGTAGGTGCTACTTAGGAGTAGAGTAAGTGCTGGGTGGTGATATCAGTTTAAAAGATTAAAAAAAAACCAAACAAAAAAACCAAAAAACAAAGAAAAACCCCAAAAAAATCTCACAATAAAAATTTGTATTTTTTCAATATTGTATAAAAATAGTGTTCTAATTACCTCATCCCCCTTCCTTCGCAGGTTTTTCTTCTCCATCGCTCCATCCCCTAACACGGATTTGGTGCACTAAACCGCTCGCACGTTCCTCCCTCCTTTTGCGAAACACTTAATTCTGCTAAACAGGGATTTTCCGGCCCCCCCCC